AATAAGTTGGGTTGGAGAGATAGTTCAGTAGTTAAAAGCACTGGCTGCTTTTCCAGAGGACCCAGGTTCAATTCCCAGCATCCTCATGGCAGCTCACAGCTGTCTGTAACTCCAGTTCCAGGGGTTCTGACACCTTCATACAGACATACAGCAAAATATCCAGTGCATATAAACAAGTTATATATTTTTTAAAAGTTTTTTAAAAAGTGGCTAACAAGAGCTGGAGAGATGGCTCAGAGGTTAGGAGCACAGGCTGCTCTTCCAAAGGTCCTGAGTTCAATTCCCAGCAACCACATGGTGGCTCACAACCATCTATCATGAGATCTGGTGCCCTTTTCTGGTATATGTGCAGACAGACCACTATATACATAATAAATAAATAAATCTTTTTTAAAAAATGGCTAAGAAGAAGCTGGGCACGGTGGTGCACACCTTTAATCCAAGCACTCAGGGAAGCAGAGGCAGGCAGATCTCTATGAGTTCAAGGCCAGCCTGGTCTACAAAGCGAGTCCAGGACAGCCAAGGCTACACAGAGAAACCCTGCCTTGAAAATTAAAAAAAAAAAGAAAATTCAGTACTGCTAATCATCAGGGTAAAATCAAAACGACACCATCTCACCTCAAGACTGGCACTTGTCAAGTGACTAAAACAAACTAACAGAGGAACAGCCACTGGAGAGGGTGCAGGCAAATGATGACTCTATCAGAAAACTAGAACTACAGTTACCATATGATCCAGCTTCCCACTCCCCAAAGAGCGGAGAGCAGTGTGCTAAATGCGCCTGCCCTTCCGTGTGCACTGCAGCTGTAGCCACCACCGCCGAAATGCTAAACAAAGCGTGTTTCCATATGTGAGTGGTAAACAACACAGGTTTGCATACAGAATAAAATACTATTTATCCACGCGAAGCAGAATCCTTTCACAGCAATATGGACGGAACTGTCAAATAATTTAGGCGCAGAAAGACAAATGCCACGTGGTGTCCTCATTTATATGTGAAAGCAATGAGGCTATGAATGTGTGGGAGGGAACAGAGGCAGGGCAGTTAACAGGTAGGGTAGCCCTAATGTTTTATAGAACGCTAGGATAAGCATGGTGGAAAAGAATTGCTTTAAAATAATTAGCAAGGAGCACATACCCCCCCCCCCCCCACTCCCCTTTTCCTCAGGCCTCGAGATGCAGGCCTGTAATTCCAGCTACTCTGGAAGTTGAGGCAAGAAGGAGCTCCATGCCTGGACTATACTGTGAATTCAAGGCCAGCCTCAAGAACTTACTGAGACCCTATTTCAAGAAGAAAGAAAAGAAAGGACTGGAGACATAGCTCAGTAAGGCAGCACTCGCCTGGTCGGTGTGGGGGAGGGATCCGAGCTAACACAAAGGTAATGGAAATGCCCAGGAGTTATCAGATACTAGTGGTAGCTGAACTCTATTTTGAACTTTTAAAACTAGCAGGTTGTACATGGCAGCATAATGGGTTCAATGGTAAGTGAACTTTCTCTGAAAAGATCTTTTTCTTGTTTGGTTGGGTATTGGTTTATTTGTTTGTTTGTTTTTTTTCCAAGACAAGGGTTTCTCAGTGTAGCCTTGGCTGTCCTGGACCTGCTCTGTAGACCAGGCTGGCCTCAAACTCACAGAGATCTGCCTGCCTCTGCCTCCCTGAGTGCTGGGATTAAAGGCGTGCAACCACCATGTCCAGCGTCTGAAAAGATCTTGATTAAATACATGAACATATGAAGGGAGGGAAGTTATGAGGACAGGGACTGGGGGGCGGGCAACACAGCACCACAGTGAAGATGAGGACACCCAACACCTAAGGAGGAGGGGGGAAGGGAGGGCAGAGCTCTGGTCACACCTCTAACCCCCTCTGAGGCCGTGACTTGGGTTTTCAGCCTGCTGTTGCTTGCTTCTCTCTTCCCAAACTCCTCAGAGGGCAGACGCCAGCCTACCAAGCCTTGCCAGTCCTCAGCTGCAGTCAGGGTGAAGACGCTCAACCTTCCTACGCCCTAGAATACCAGCAAAGGTCTGCTGTTCCTGCAGCAGGAACCCTGCTTTCCGCCTGAAGGCCAGGGCCCTGAGGGTAGCGGCTGCCACGTCCCCCTGCTCTGTAACCCAGGGGAGCCCTTTACCTTACCCCCGGGTCCTCTGGCTGAGCTTTCTCAGGAAGACCCGCGTGACCTCCAGGGCCTCCTGCTCCGGAAGCAGCAGGTTGCCCGACGTGTTACAGCTCAGGTCAATCCAGTCAGTCCTCAGGGCTTGGAAGTCGAGGTTCTGCGCGCTGAAGGTTTGCTCCCAGTTCACGACCGGGTCGAACACAGGTACGTACTCGAACACCTCGCCCATATCTTCTTCCTCATCTTCCTCCCCCTCCTCCGCTTCCTCCACATCTCCTTCGTCTCCTTCAGGGTCCGCTGCTATCACCACTTCCTCCTCCCCGTGCCAGCTCCTGCTGGGGACCTGAAGCTCCATCCTGTCACCCCTTCTCTGCTCAGCAATGTAGGACTCCACTTGATGCAGCCACTGGGACTGCTCAAGAGTCTTTGCAGGATGGTCACCCGCGGGCCTGGCTCTTGGGGTGAGAGGCGGGTTCCTCGGGGGCCCCTTGTCAGAACGAGACAAATTTTGGCTGGGTACAGGGTCAGCTTCCCCCGTCCTTCTCTCCGGCTGCTGCACTGGCAGGTCACTTGTCCTGGCTGGAGAGGACGCTGTAGAGTTCTGTGAATGAGCCAAGAGCTTCCGCAGGTGGTAGTCAGTGACACCCAACCCCGGGTCGGAAGTAGTCTTTGGTTTGCTCCTCTGTGTCCCGGTCCTCTGGTCTAGAGAGGCAGGGATTCCATCTGGTGCTTCTTCATACTGGGATTCTTCTAGAAGGCCGTCCTCAAAACCTGTTAATATGAACCATTCCTCATTTCAGGAGTTCTCAGCCCTTCCCAGAAGACACAAACAGCAGACAGTCACAGATGTGGCATGCCCAGAGTCGGGGATGGGGGGGTTCACTTGTGTGACTCTGGACAAGTTATTCTACCTCAGTACCCCCTGTTTTGTTATTTGCATCGAGGCTGATGGGCAATATGGTGGTATATGTCTGTAATCACAGCGTTTGGAAGGTCGAGGTAGGAGGAGCAATCACAAATTTGAGTCTAGCCTGGTCTACATGGCAAGTTCCAAGCTATCCTGAATGCCAGGGTGAAACCTTGTCTTTAAAAAAAGCATGGGGGCTGAAAAGATGGCTCACTGTTTAAGAGCACTGGCTGATCTCCCAGAGGACCTAGGTTCAAATCCCAGCACCCACATGGCAGCTCACAACTGTCTATAACTCTAGTTCCAGGGGACCTGGCAGCCTCACACAGGCAAAACATCAATGCACGTAAAAATAAATAAATCCTTTTTTTTTTCATAAATTTTTTAAAGATTTATTTATTTATTTATTTATTTATTTATTTACTTACTTACTTACTTACTTATTTATTTATTATGTATACAATGTGATGTCTGCATATACACCTGCACTCCAGAAGAGGTCACCAGATCTCATTGTAGGTGGTTGTGAGCCACCATGTGGTTGCTGGGAATTGAACTCAGGACCTCTGGAAGAGGAGCCAGTGCTCTCAACCTCTGAGCCATCTCTCCAACCCCAAATAAATCCTTTTTTAAAAAACACAAAAGCACATATGCAAACAAACAAAAAAGCTTTAAAAAAAAAAATCCCCCTTGCCAGACAGAGGAAGGTGGATCTCTGAGTTCAAGGCCAGCCTGGGCTATGAAGAGAGATCCAGGACAGCCAAGGCTATACAGAGAAACCCTGTCTCAAAAAAACCAAAGGAAAAAAAAATCCCCCTCAGAATGTTATGAGCTGAATGTACCACACCAGTATCAGCAACATTTAGGACCCCACAAGTGGTCTCAGCCACACCCTGTCCCCCATGAAGGAAGGCCACAGCAAGACAGGGCTTCTCTATAGCATGCTTTCCAGGAGGGTACCCCAGCCGGGGTCCCCACAGCCAGCCACCTCCAGCTGCTCCAGTGAGTGAGAAGCTTCACTCTCTACACGCCCTGAAATGGAAGGTGCAGGGTGCTCCTCTTGGGGCGGGCTGGGGGCGTTTGCATGCTAAGCGCCTCAGGGGCGAGACTGTATGACTGGACTGTTCCCTGGGAAGAGGCCACACCAGCCGCAGCTAAGCATGACCTGGCAGCACAAGCCAGCACACTCCTCTGTACCTGGCCGCTCCAGGCCCTGCTTCTCCGGCTTGTCCATCTTGATATACTTCTGGAAGCTGGACCTGTGGGAGAAAGGGACTTGTGGATGGGCACCAGATTCCTCGAAGGTTCCACCTGGGCAGAGTGGAGAAAGGAGCTGAGACAGTGTGCTCTGAGGGGTGTGTACACACATGGGCCTGTAAGGAGGGCCCAGGACTCCTCGGCGTACAGCGGCCCTTCCAGCGAGGCAGCTCTCCTGAGTCCTACAGAGACCCTGTCCCACACCTGTGCCACACACCTGTCCTGATCAGAGGCGCTTTCTTGATAGAAGCATTTATTGTGGGTCTCCATGTGGCTCAGGCGGGTATAGTCATTGGGATAAACAAAGGACAGGTGAACCTGAAAGCAGAAAAAATGGGGGCAGATATCAGAGGCGGAGTCCTGGGGAGGAACCAGCCCAAGCTGAGCCACCCCTGGAGGGGGAGGGCTGCTGTGGTGCCGAGTGCAGTCTGGACTCCACAGTCTCTTCGTGCCTGCTCCTCCAGGCACAAACCGCTCAGAGCGCAGCTCCTTAATCCACCCTCACTTGCCATCACTTGTTCCTTCTTCCCTCTGGCACCTGACCCTCTCCTGTCTTCTTTACTCACTAGCTCTCACAACGCTGAGCCCATTCTATGCCCCGTTTCCTTTGCCCCCTAAACATAGGCTGAGCTCACCACCACCAAAAATAGCCTCAATTATAGCTCACCCACTCCCTGACCTGGCCATGACTCTTCACCGCTTCCTTCTGTCTTCATCCATGGACCTGGGTATATCACATTCTTCCTGCTTCCTCACTCTCCACACAGAGAAAGCTACCACCCACACCCAGTACATTTTCCCAAATGCCTTTGTTGGAAATGCCACTGGCTACCCCATTGCTGGGACTGAGCAGGCAGGACAGGGTCTGTGTGGCCCTTGGCGCAGTCATCAGGCTTCACAATCGAGGGAAGAGAAAGAAGCATGTGCCTACGGGTTCCACAGAACAGTCCACCCTAGTGAACCCATCCAGAAATGCACCCCGGGGACCTGAGGGGCCACCCTGTCTGCCGAGCTAGGACACAGGAAGCGCAGAGTCAGCTTCAGTCCACCCCCTGTTCCCTACGCCCCCATCCACAGGCAGCAGGCCTTCTCCTAGCCCTCCTTGGTCTAAGGATGTGACTTACAAAGCGAAGGCCCTGGTAGCGCTGTAACGGGAGACCTTCCACCAGGTAGCTGGGTTTGTAGGGACAGTCAGGCAGGACATGGCGCAGATGAGACTTGGGGATCAGAGGCACTGAGGACAGGAAGGGAAGAGGATTGAGCTGTGTGAAGTGACAGCACCAACATCTTAGGGCCACAAAGGCTCCTGGCTGGGGGGTGGGAGGGGAGACTTGATGGCTTCCACCCTCGAAGCTTCCATTGGCATTCACTGGTGACAGCTGAGCTCCCAAGCCACGTGATCAGCAGAGTCTGCTACAGCGAGACTGCCACCACTCTTAGGGGCAAGGGTGGAGGACACAGGGACAGCACAACACTGTCTAGGGGCACCCCAAGAGGCCACACGGCTCCACCTTAGTATACTCCCACCGAGTGGGTTTCCTTTTTTGATTCAAGAATGTCTCTGCTCTCCAGTTTTCGCTACTTTTTGTTTTTGATTTTCTGAGACAGGGCCTGCCATGGTCACGAACTCAGGATCTTCCTGCCCGAGTTCTGCCGGGACTGGAGATGGGTAAAAACATTTGGTGGCCACCTTCCTTTGTTTTAAAGGTAAGAAGTGGGGTACCCTGTCAGCTTTGAAAATGTAAACATGGCCAGCTGGGGCTGGGCTCAGTGGTAGAGCATATGCTCAACTCAGGGTCCCAGGTTCAAGCCTCAGCATCCAAATCAGGGACTAACATGCTCCTTAGCGAATGGTAAGAGTCGGGATCTGAAGAGACGCTAACATTTGTGGCCAGGGAGGAGTGGGTGAAGGCCTCTGAATTCTATCTCCATTTCTGGTCTTGAGTGGTGGTTAAATGAATGTCCACTGTATAATGGTTTGTAGAATCATAGAATTGGAATAAATCCTCTTGCATTTTTGGTCTGTCTTACACCTCAAAGGGGAAAAGATTTTGTGACTCTAGGGTTGCTGTAGAATAGACAGGTCTCCTGAGTCTTGCCCATCAACACAGAGGGCCTGGCCCTGGCAGACCCTCCACTCGGTGACCAGTCCGTGGCCAAGGACTTACCTCGATAGAGGGTGTCCCGAGGGTCAGGCTGCAGCATGTCAGCCGGTGGCTGCTCATCCCTGGGGGGAGTGTTGGAGGAGCCCACATGGCTGGCCGCTGTCTGTGGGATGTGGCCCACTTCATCCATCTTTAGGATGGTCTCATCTGTGCCCAGGGAGGAGAGAACAGAAGGAAGCTGTAGGTCCTGACAGAATCGAGCACGCTTTGGGGGGGCAGGTGGAGGGGTTCAGGCCCAGCTTCTGTATTCCCACAGGTAAGATCGAAGCCATGCCCAAACCCGGCCCTCAGTTAACTTGTGGTTTTAGCCAGCTCCCTTTGAGCCTGTTCTACCCCATGGCCAGCCCACACCATGATTTTGCATAGACTAAAAAAAAAAAAAAAAAGATACCTCTTGCCTGAATGCTTTACTGCTGACCAGACAGAGACCTGTACTCGGCCACTATTTAATTTCACGTGGCCTACACTTATAGTTCTTACTGGGTATTCCTGGCAGTGCTGGGGTTTGAACCGAGGGCTTCTCTAGTAAGAGGAAAAGATGTTACCACCATGCACTCTAGTTCCACTGTCTAGGGTGGGCGGCCTCTATACCACCTATGTGCCGGGCTCCGCCAAGCAGCCCCTGTCCTGCAGTGGTCCTTCTAGGTCTGCACTGGACACTAACTCCAGTATTCTTTACCACAGCCCAGACTAGGAGCAGACTCTGGCATCCTTAGTCCTCAAGCCTGGAAAAAAACATGTCAACAGCAAAAGGTTTCTGGCTATACTACACGACATCGGCCTTGGTTCTGAACATACAACACATGCCACGCACCCAGCAATGCCCACGGATAATCCCTTGGCTCTGAATCAAGACTACTGTATACTAGCATATGCTGAATATGGTGTTTTCACTGTGCACATGAAGTTTTCTACTCTTACATAAACATAAAAAATTAGTGATTAAAAGAAATAGCCAAAAAGGAGCATTTTATTTATTTATTTATTTATTTATTGAGACAGGGTTTCTCTGTGTTGACTTGGCTGCCCTGGACTCACTTTGTAGACCAGCTGGCTTCGAACTCACAGAGATCCACCTGCCTCTGCCTCCCCGAGTGATGGAATTACAGGCTCGTGCTACCATGCCCGGCCACTTGAGCATTTTAGAAAGCTGATAAGTGAGCCAAGGGTGTGCCAGCACATCGGCACACTCCTTTTAAGCCCAGCACTTGGCAGGCAGAGGCAGGTGGATCTCTGACTTTGAGGCCAGCCTGATCTACAAAGTAAGTTTCAGGACAACCGGGGCTACACATAGAGAAACTATCTCAAAAACACATGCATACACAAAAAGAAACAACAAAAAAAAATCTGTTAAGTGAATTTTGGCTTAGAACTAGGACAGAATTTTCAAAATGACCCTTAACCTAACTTCTATTTTGTACTACTTATTTATGCTGAAAGTAGCGCTCTCAGCATTGATTATTATAAAATTAAAATATTGATTAAGGGGCTCAGTGAGTAAGAGTGAGTAAACATGAGTTTGAATCTCCAGCGCCTGCATAAGAGCTGGACATAGCCTGTAGCCCCAGTGCTGGGAAGCTAAAACAGGTAGACCCCAGAAGCTCACCTGTCAGGTAGCCTACCAAAACAGTGACCTTCGGCTTTAGTGAGAGAGCATGTCCTAGGGGGTAAGACAGAGAGCAACAGAGGAGGACACGTGATGTCCTATCTGGCCTCCTCCTGAACATGCACACACATATGATATTGATTATTTGAAAAGACTGAAAGATGCTCTGTTTCCTACAGCATCGAATATTCAGCCAAAGTTCAAATTTTTTAAAATAAAAGTTGTGTGTTTTTTTTTTTTTTTTTTTTTTTTTAAGGCTGAGTATGGTGGCTCACACCTTTAATCCCAGTGCTCAGGGAGGCAGAGGCAGGAGGATCTCTGTGTTCAAGGTCAGCCTGGTCTACAAAGTGAGTCCAGGACAGCCAAGGCTACACAGAGAAACCTTGTCTCAGAAACAAAACAAAACAAAAACAAAGGGTCTCACCATGTAGCCTACCTGTCCTTTAGGTCACTATATAAACCAGGTTGGCCTTGAACTTACAGAGATCTGCTTGCCTCTGCCTCTTTAGTGCTGAGAGTAAAGGCATGTTCCACCATGCTTGGTCTAAGATTTTTTTTTTTTTTTTAATTTATGTGTATGAAGCCTGTCTATGTGAGTATATGCCATATGGTGCCTGTGAAGGCCAGAAGAGGGCATCAGATCTCTTGGAACGGATGTGACAGGTTTTAAGCTACCTCATGTGTGTGCCTGAAAATTAACTCAGAGCCTCTGGAAGAGCAGGACGTGCTCTTGAAACAGTTTATATTTTCAGATTTTATTTTATGCATATGAGCGCTTTGCTCAGGTCCACGTATGTGCTTGCCTGGTGCCGACAGAGATCAGAAGAGGGGGTCAGGTACCCTGGAGCTGGAGTTAAAGATGGCTGTGAACCACTGTGTGGGTGCTGGGAACGGACCCTGGATCCTTTGCAAGAGCAACAAGTGTTCTTACCACTGAGCCATCTCTCCAGCACCATGATTTAATTCTGTATGTATACCTACTTTACGGACGCCAGGAATCATGTGCAAATATCTCAGGCTAAAAGGGACTACTGTTGGGAGAGGGTTAAGAAAGTCTGCTTCAGTATGGCAGTGCTGGTGTGCGCCTTCAATCCCAGCACTCGGATTTTTCTGAGTTCGAGGCCAGCCTGGTCTTCCAAGACAGCCAAGAAAAACCCTGTCTCAAGAAACAAAAATAAGCCAACAAAAACAATGTGCTAGACACCGGCGTGGGTGTGGTGGTTTCGGATTTGTTTGTTTAGAGGGGAAAGGCAAGCAGCCAATCCCCAGCCCCCCCAAATCTCATTGGAGCAGATTCTGGGTTTTGGTTTTTCGAGACAGGGTCTCTCTGTATAGCTCTCGGTGTTCTAGACTCACTTTGTGTTCAGGAGTTAAGGTGTGCACCACCACCACTTGGCTGTCTAACAGACCTCAGACCTCTGACCCGGGAGAGTAAAGTAAGGTCCCTCAGGATCCTAGCCTTCTCCGGACCTCCCTCACACCCTCGTCCTACGTATCTGAGCTTTATCCCCATCCCTCTGAACTCACCCTGGCCCACCCCCATTCTCCCAAATGGAGCCCACGTGCTTCCTCGAAGGCAGAGCCCACTCACTTGTAAAGAGAGATAAGAAGGGGGAGTCAATGATCATAAACTCGGCCCCTGGGTCATTCCGTCTCCACTAGAATTAGAGGAAGGACACAGCGGTTAGAGGTGGCTGGATTTGGGAACAGTGTTGAAGAGATCCAGGGAAGGCAAGGCTGGGAAAGGCGGGGCGCATGCGGGGTGGGGGATGAGGTGGGGGTGGGAGCAGGGGCAGGAGAGAATGAAGACACTCACCGCTACCTCCACGTGGTCCGTACCCTCGTCATTCTGCTTGTGCAGCACCTCAAAGTAGTACCTGAGGGAGGCTGATAAGCTGGGGGAAGGAGACAGGAACAGAGGCTTCTGCTCAGCTAGTCACCTGAGTCAACCTCTCCCGCCATGAGCTCCCTGGTGCCCCTTTAACTATCCCGACCTACGCCTGACAGCTAACCCCGGTTTTCTTTCTGCCAGGGCCAAATATAAGTAGTTCATAAGTCAGTTGGGGACCCCGTGAAACTCATGGTTGAAGCCTTAGTGAGCAGTCGCTGAGCGCCAGGACCATGCTCAGTGCTTTTATTGACATTCCTTGGCCATAATCAGGGCTGTGTGGAGTAATTACCGGTAGTCTTTGGTAATTTGCCCAAAGTCACCCAGGTAGTGAGCAGTGGGGCTGTGATATGGACCAGGCAGCCTGGCTTTAGGGTCAACCTCGAGGGTGGGGAAGGGGGAGGGAGCGTTGCTGGAGTGCAGCAAGGGCTCTTTGCAAACTAGGTCTGCCTGCAGCCTCGCCTGTGAGCCAGCCACCAGGTGGCGGACTGAAGCTGAACTAAGGTAGGCCAGCTCTTAAGGTCAGTCCAGCTGCTGTAGGCTGCAAAAGGATTGATTTCCCGCAATCGCTGCAAGGCCATGCTTCCAGTTCCCCGTAGGAATTTCCTCTCTTAAGCCCAGAGCGAGCACTAGGCCTAGAAATGTGTGAGCATTTCTAGGTCTGGAGAAAACGGGAAGAAAAAAAAAAAAAGGACCTGTTTTCTAGCCTTGAGTGCCATTCAGTATCTGTGTGGCGCATCCCACCACACAAAGCTTCTGAGGCCTCAGCCGCCTCATCTAAAATGAGGAATGGGGCTAGAGAAACGGCTTAGAAGTTCAGAGCGAGTGCTGCTCTGGCAGAGGACCAGGGTTCGGTTCCCAGTAGCCACGTGGCAGCTTACAACTACAAGACCAGTTCCAGAGGATCCAATGATCCTTCCGTTCTCTGAGGGCACCAGGCACACACCTGACATGCCTATATCCGCGTAGGCAAAGCAGGCTCATTTTAAAAAGCATTTATGAAATGAGGGAGGGCAGGGCAGATGGCTTCAGTTTGGGCAGACCCTGTGGATGCCCAGGCAGTAACCATGGACAGCAAAGTGTTCGGAGATGGTGTGGGAGGGGCCCTCCGGGAGCTTTCCTGCAGACAGGCCTGGCACTGAAGGGGCTGGACAGGCTGTGGGTGGTTGGTAGCCCTCCCTACTCACCTCACTGGCTTGGAAATTTGACTCTGAAATTTCCCAAACTCTCCAGGGGCTGTCCATTCCTTTCCTGTCTAGAAGCGTGGGGAGAGGAGAGAGAAGGAAGAAGAGAAGGCAGGGGAAGGAGGGGAGAGGAAAGGAGAGATGAGAGGGTCAGAAGACAGAGTTAAAGAGGACGGCTGGCCAACACACATCTGACCCCACTGAGGGAAGGGAGTCTTCCCATATTCCCATAGGCAACCAACCCAGCATAGATGCTTAGCGTGGGCTAAGGGACAGGGGCACTTAAGGGAAAGATGAATGCGGCTGGGTCCCCACTCTGCCCACATCTCGCATGCCCTTCGCTGTGTAGGGTAGAGCTGAGGGGCAGTGTGTGCGGCTTCTGTCTCTCCTTCACATCAACGACATTAATGGTGACTCCATCGGTGATTGCCTCCAGGGGCCCATGAGAGACCAAGGGCTGAGCTGACCCTACCTTGCCCACACTGGCCAGCAACTGAAGGCCTGAGACCTGGTCATCACAACTCAGCCAGAATTCGGCGTTGTCATCAGCAGCGATGGCAAACTGGATTTTCCCTGGGCAACAGCAGAGAGTCTGGGTGAATCAAGGAGGGCCTTGGCACGAGGGCTGAAAGCCTCAGTTATATCCAGGCATCAATTCCCTTCCCTCATGTGCCTTGTCCCCTACTCCCCACCCCCACTTTGCATGAGGGAGGGGACTCTCCATTCCGGGGGCGCAATATGAAGATGGAGAGGACTTACGGAGACCAGCTCAGGCTTATGTTTCTAGGGCCGTCCCCCTCCCCCACCCAAGAACTCAAAAGCAGGAAGAAGGAGGAGGCTTTGGGGGCTCCCTCACCATCGGTAAAAGGGTGCAGGTAGCCAAATATGCGGAGACCATAGTTGGTCCATCTGGGGGACACAGCCAGCTTCCTCAGAGTGGTTCGGATCTGTGTCGAGAAAGATCAACTGTTACTCAGAGTCAGCAAGGAGACTTTGAGGAACTTGAGTTTGCTCTACTCGAGGCTGGTGGGGAGACCAGGAGGGGAACCGGAGATGAGAAACGAGGGGTGTGACACGCTCTGTGGAGCCAGGTCTGGTCCCACTCACACGTTGGTCTGGGTGGCCTTGTATGAGGCACAACTTGTACACCTGTACAAGCGGCCCTGGATAAACATCAAGAGAGCCTAAACGGAAATGCTGCCGAGCAGCACGTGGCAGGAGTCTCGGGGAAGGAGGAGACAAGAAAGATACTGTAAACAGAGGAGAGGGCCCAAGAGACAGAGGGTGTAGTAGAGGCTGTAACCGGCTGAGAAGGAGCAGGGGAGGAGGCTGGTGGGGGAGAAGAGGTGGAGGAGATGCAGAGGATGGTCTGGGCACTCACGTGGGGGTACAGGGGGAAGTGCAGGTTCCTCCTGAGCTGGTGGATGGAGCCGCCACACCAGTCTTCAAACACATGCAGGTTGGCATGGCCCCGGAACTGTGTGGAACAGAGAGGGGAATGGTGAGTGAGTGGGAGCAGCCTGTGCCCAGCCCTGCAGGTGGAGGGAGCAGATGGGCGCAGCGCCTCTCGTGTATTCTATGGAAGGCTCCTAGCCCGAGGTGGTGTGGGGAGGTGAGGACCTAGCAGGGGGCAGTTAGGTCACAGGGCTATAGCATCCTGAAGGGGATCCTAGGATCCCAGCTATTTTCTGTCTTTCCTGACTTTCCAGACCTCTGCCACCATGATGTTCTAAGCCTCCACGAGCACGGAGGAAGAGGGCTAAGCAAGCCCAGGACAAACCTTGGAAAGCGTGGGCCATGACAGTCCTTTTTCCTTTATGAGTTCGGTATCTCAGGCATGTTTGCCACAAGGATGAAAAGCGGCCACCAGCCCTGTGGCCTGACTCCCAGGATGGGGTTATATATGCTCACGTGCCTACAGATAACACAGCACACACTCCTCATCCCTCCCAGGCAGACTGGAACGAGGGGCAGGCGAGGGGCATTAACAGCCACGGCAAAAAGGCAGCCGTGACAGAGGGAGCTGGGAGGAGCTTGGCTAAGTTCCAGCCAAGGGCTTGCCCACCGTGGCTCCTCTGTTTCTCACGAAAGGAAGGCTCCGCAGCTGTCCGCCTGTCCCGAAACCTTATCTACCCAGGGTCCTCACACCCTGGCTGGGGGAAGCAGCTGAGCAAGACTATGACACTATCTGGGGTTCCTCTGGGCTCAGCATCAGGGACATTGGAAGAGGCAGACATGTCTTTCCTCTCACTGGCCCCCTCGGCTGTGGCATTGGAGGGGGACAGGCCTGGACCTAGAGCAGAAGCTCTCGTTGAAGACGGGACAAAGGTAACAGCCATGCAACGAGTGACTGGAGGGACCATGCTCAAGAAGGGAAGAGGAGCAGGAATATGGTCCCAGCCAGCTCAGTCTCAGATACCCTCACCAGAGCTTAGCACCCTCCAGGCGGTGCCTCATTCACACTATACAAACAAGTCCTGTCCTGGGTCACTCGAGAAAAAAAAGATGCAGAGGTAGAGCAGGTACCCAGGCTGAAGGGCTCATTGAGGTCCTCTGTGCAGAGCAAGGCAGGATGGGGTGTTGGAAGGATGGGCTCACTTGGTGAAGCGCTTGTCTGAGTTCTGACCCCAGAGCACACAGGAAAGCAGTGGTGTGAGCTTGGAATACCAGTAGGGGGAGGGGAGAGACAGGAGGCAAGCCCCAAGCCACCATGAGATCGTATCTCAAAAATCAAGGTTGTCTTCTGGCTTCTGCGGGCACCAGTACACGTGTGTAACCCCCCTCAACACTCAATTCTTTTTCGAAAATAGGATGTGGGGGACAGGGGAAGCGCTCTACATGAGCTGAGGGTCTATGTTAGGCTGCAATCGTGGGCAAGGCTTCATGGGCACTGTCCCACCGCTGGACCTTGAAGGCAGCAGCTAGCTTGTCACTCTCTGACCCTTAAGCACACCAGCAGGGTCAACACTTGGAACATGGGACCTTGGGAAGTAGCCATCACTCCCAGGAATGCAAGGAGGGGGCTGGGGTGGGTGAAAGTGTGTGGGCTGGTAGGTGGGAGTGGAGTTGGGGATCCGGGAAGGAAAGAAAGGGGACATTATGCTGCTTCTGGGGAAATTCCTCAAGCCCAGCTTAAAGGATTCAGTTGTCTTCTCCAACTGTTCTGCTTTCTTCCCTCTCCCCAGGAGACCTCCAGGTCAGAGAGCTCTGGTACCCCGGAAGAGCAGGGCACAAGAGGGGGAGGCTCAGCCACCAGAGAGATCAGTTGGGTGAAGCCTGGAGCTACAAAGCCAGACTTGGCAACGAGAATGGGTTTCTCAGGAAGGCAGCTTTGGCCTGAGGGCAGGTAGACAGCAATCCCTCGCAGCTCCTCTCCAGGCAATCTAGCTTGGCCACGGGAGCCTGAGGTGCTGTGGGAAGCCAGCAGGGCTTGCCAAGAGTGAATGAGAGAATTAGCCTGTTCTTTGAGGTAGACTTCACCTCACATTTGCCTGAGCCTCAGACCTTTGTCGCCAACCTCTGAAGGATTGTGGGGGTGTCTTGGGGACGCTTGGACACTGTCTTCCTCCCCAGACCCAGACTGACAACTCCACCAGAATTGTGTCCTTTCATTTCAGGGACTTTAAACTAGCAGGAATGTGTGTGGCACTCTGGCACATCAGCCTCAGTGGGCCCTCCCTTACCTAGCAATAGCAAAAGGCCAGGGCAGGGGAGGGCTTCCTCCAGGCTTTAGCTGCGATGGTTCAGAACTTGAAGTTAGCCATAGTGGAGAAAGCTATCTTTTGGATTGCCTCATTTAGAAGGGACAATATCGGGGCTGAAGACACACAGCAATTACCCCGTGGAGATGGAAGGGGCAGAGGGAGTATGCAAGGAGGGTAAGGCCTGCCCCACTGCTTTCCCTTCCTTCATGCCACCTCTGCTGGGCCTTAGCAGGCTTGCCAGGACAACAGCAGGCCTGAGTGGATGATGGTGCCACCTCCTCCCCACCCCCCAGCTCAATCTTCAGTACTGTTCTGATGAAGCAAGTCGCTCTGAAGCTGAGGCAACTGCAGAATAAAAACTCACTGTGATCTTCTTTAGCACTGACCCGCCTTCCCAGCCCTCAGCACACTGTTGCCCTGCCATATCTACCCACACCCAACTCTAGCCCTGAAAACAGGAAAGCCTAATCCACAGCAAAAACACGAGTATTCACAGCACCGTTAGTCAACAATCTGTCTACCAAGGAGGGAGGGAGGGATAAATAGAACGGGGCATACAGTTCTCCTTTCTCCACACCACCCTCCCAGGAACTCCTGCTCCCCGAGAGCCATTCACGGGGAGAAGCAAATGTGAAGGCAGAAGCCAAGGGGAAAGACTAGCAGACGGCCAGGTGGATGGACAGCTGTGCCTGCAGGCCAGGGAGCTGGTGCTGCCATCTAGAATGTTCCTCTCAGCGGATCCAGAACTCCTGTGACCGCTGCATCACCAAAGGCCAAGACAGTCTCTGAGCGTTGTCTTGGTCACTGTCACACTCTGTTCTCAGGTTCAAGGGTCACACACCCACAGGAACTCATCTCTTCTGCTGTCTCAGCTGTGATGCCATCTTACTCTGCCACAGTGAGGAATGAAACACACCATATCACCCTGTGGATGAAACCTGCAGACCTCATAAGCGACAGAAGCCAGACAGTCAGGGACACATTTCATGACTGCATTTTCTTTTTTTCTTTTTTTGTTTTGTTCTGTTTGTTTGTTTGTTTGCTTGTTTGAGACAGGGTTTTTCTGTGGAGCCCTGGCTGTTCTGGAACTTACTCTACAGACCCAGGCTGATCTACTTGCCTCTGCTACAATCAAAGTCATGGCCACTCAGCTCACAAGTCCATTTCTTTCTTTCTTTCTTTTTTTTTGTTTTTTTGACACCCTCTCCTGGCCTCCATCGGCACTAGAAACGAATGTGGGTCATTCATAGATTCAGCAAAACACTCACATAAATGAAATAATTTTCATTATTATAAAGGAAGTGGACAACCTTGTGCTGAGGGCTGGGATAAAAGTATGGCAAGGAGGAATGGCTGGGGATACAGGACTTCCTTTTCTTTTTTATTAACCAGTTTATATTTTTATCCACTTTACATCTGGTGGTATCTCCACCCTCCTCCCCCTTCCCCTCTCAACTCTTTCTCAGAAAAGGGGAGCTCCCTTTCCAATCCACCCTAGTTCATCAAGTTGCATCAGGACTGAGCATGTCCTCTTCCGCTGAGGCTTGGTAAGGCAGTCCTACGAGGGGGAAGTGATCAAAAAACTGGCAAGTGAATCTGTGTCTGATGCAGTCTCCAGTTCCCTTACTAAAGGACCCACACGAAGCCTAGGCTGTCCATCTGCTACATCTTTGTAGGGCCCTTTAAAAAAAAAATATTTATTTATTTATGCATTATAGTGCTCTGCCTGCATGTACACCTGCACACCAGAAGAGGGCACCAGATCATACTATAAGATCACTGTGAGCCACCATGCAGTTGCTGGGAATTGAATCCAGGACATCTGGAAGCACAGTCAGTGCTCTTAACCTTTGAGCCATCTCTCCAGCCCTCTTTTCCTTTTTTTTGAGACAGGATCTCATGTAGCACCAGCTGGCTTCAAACTTGCTACGTAGCCAGGGATGATTGCAAACTTCTGATCCTCCTGCCCCCCCACCAATGCTGAGATTTCAAGTGTGTGCCACCATGCCCAGTTCATGCAGTGCTGGGGACTGAACTCAGGGTCTCTGTGCATGCTAGGCAAGCACTGAGCTACAGCCCCCTCCCTGGTTTCCTTGTTTATGTATTTATTTATTTTGCAGTGCTATGGGTTGTATTTAAGGCCTCAAGCAAAGCTTTATGACTGAGTGGCTGAGCCAGCAAGATATGGGGTATACCATGGAGCACAGCTCTGTTAATGTACTGAACGCTACTGGGTTGCACACTGTGACTTGTAAAGAATCCGAACAAGAGCAATACGATTTCTGTTGTTGTTTCATTTTTGAGGTAAGGTCTCAACCATGTAGCCTCAGGCCATTCTCAAACCCAGAGTGATCCACCTGCCTTAGACTCCCAAGTGCTGGGATTACTGATCTGCACCATCAGGCCTCTCTCGAAAATTCTTTCTAAAAAGGCAGTAACAAGGGCCAGGGAACACAGCCAACAACCTCAGTTCCACCTTCAGCCACATAAACAGCTGGGTGCAATGGACCAAGTCTGCAACCCCAGAAGTCCTATCGTGAGATGGGAGGTGGAGACAGGAGAACAGCCCAGGCTAGCCCTAGATCTAGCACACTGTGCAGCAGGAGCAAGAGACCCTGCCTCTGCACAGTGGTTCCTGAAAGTTGTGCCCCTCACCAAACAGTAGCAAGCTGGATATGGTAACGTAAGCCTGTGATCCCGAGGCAAGGAATCACCGTGGGTTCTAGGATATCCTGGGCTAAGCAGCTTCGGGTTTCATGTCAAAAAAAAAAAAAAAGCAAAAACAAACAAAACCAAAACCAAACCAGACAGACAAAAACAAAGGATAAAAAAAAAAAAAACTTGACTCAAAACGTGTGGGGCTCTGTGTTGGAAACTAAAACAAAAACCCTGAGTCTGTGTCCTGCTCCGCTCACAGGGGAGAAGCATTGTCCACTGAAGCTGTTAGGTGACTTGGACATGGTGACTTGCTTAGGTCGGCTGTGCTTACCATGTTTCTTGCTCATACTTATTTTTGTTTGGGGGAATGTCCCAGGTGGACAGAGCTTACCCGTGGACCTGCATACGGACCAGCAGAAGAGATGGCTGGCCTTGCAGTTTGCTGGTGGACAGGGAAGTTTCTAAGGACAGCTATTCCCTGCCCCCAGCCCTAGCTGTCCAGTGTCCAAAGACAGCAGCTATGGCAGAGCAGACAGGCGAAGCCTGGGGTGTGCTCTCAGCTAACTTCCACCTCTCAGACACACTGTTGCAAAGGACATGGGTCTAATCTGAGAGCCTCTGAGCTGGGCACACAGAAGTCCCCATAAAGGAGGGAGACGGGAAGCTGGGCTGGAGTGACTGTTACTCCTCTCCCTGTCCTAGGAAATCAGGGATTCACTAAAGATCTATAATACTGAGGATTTAAAATCTTTTCATGTTTAAAAATGAAATAAATGGAAATCTGCCTTTTACCACTGAACGGTCACACACATGTATGTACTAAAGGTACCAAATATTTCTTTAAAAAAGTCAAATCATGGCAGGGCGGTAGGGCAAACATCTTCAATCCCAACGCTTGGGAGGCATAGGCAGGGGGATCTCTGAGTTCTCTGGCCTACAGTGCAAGTTCTAGGATGGCCAGGGCTACACAGGGAAACCCCGTCTCCAAAAACAAACAAACAAACAAACAAACAAACAAAAATATCGACCCTGGCTGGGTGTGGTAACACATGCCTTTAACTCTAGTACTCTAGTAGGCAGAAGCAGGTGCTGTGAGTTCGAGGCCAGCCAAGGCCTCTTTTTCTCAATTCTATGGCAGATATAGTGGCACATACCTGTACTTCCAGTATTCAGCAGGATCATAAGTTTCAGGCTAGCTTGAGCTACACAGTGAGACTCTATCTCCAAAATGACAGAGAAAGAGTGAGAGAGAGAGAGAGAACGAGAACACGCAAATGAGAACCTTCTGAAAGTGGTGGCACAAGCCTGAAATCCTAGCACTTGGGAGGTGAAGGCAGGGGATTAGGTGGAGTTCAAGGTCATTCTCAACTATGAAGTGAGTTCAAGGCTAGCCTGGGCTATATGAGACCCTGTCTCAAAATAAACAACAAAACAAACAACAACGTGAGAAAAGAAAAGGAAAATTATTCAAGCTGCCCTTAATAGAGAGAAGGCTGGATCACCAGCACACCGTCTCCAGTTGCTGATGATGTCACCTCGAAGGACTGTGCCAGCATTGAAACCCATCCTCCTTCTGGGCTTCAGAAAGAGGCCCTCTCACAGAGGAGCTAACACTGTCTCTCCTTACTCTTGCCTTGAGTGAGCCGGGTGGAAGTAAAACCACCCAAGCTGCAAGATCAATCTGCAACAGGAACAATAAAGACAGTAGCTTGGCCCACACCACACACACAGCCGAGGAAACCAGTCTCTACCACAGCCCCAGGATAGAGAGCCATGGTTCTCAACACACTGGAAAATGTGATTCTCCAAAGCACGAGGCTATTCCAGAGTTTTCATGCAAGCATGTGCTCAAGGTAACTTGTGCATGTTCATAAAAAAAGAAAAGAAAAAAAAAAAAAGACTAAAAAAGAATGCCAATGCCTAGAAGTAAAAGGCACCTCCACGGCTGGGATTTTGTTTAGAGACGGGCTGTTTCATTGCTGTCAAGGCTCAAGTGAACTCCCTGCTGGGCCACTGCACCTGGCTGTGATTTTTGATCCCATAATAACTGCTTTCTGAAGCAGATTCCTAATGCATGTTCATTCAGAACATTGGTAGCTCAGAATCTTAACAGGCATTTATGGAAAAGGCAATTCAGGGGCAAATAAATTTGGGACAGGCTGAGCTAAACCAAGCTAAACAGATTTCCCCGGGGACTTCTCAGAATCTTTCATATGTTAATGTGGATTTCCAAGAACAGTTGTCCTCCACAGTGGGTGTGTGTGTGTGTGTTATGTTTTGTTTTGTTTTTAAATCTTATTTAACAATGGATTCCTTTCTTCCTGGAATAGTATCTTATGGGACTTAATGGTTTGAGAAAACTCTAGGGTAGGTTATTATTTTTAAGACCGGGGATTGGCATAACCATGAAAGTCATGTAACTTCCCTAGACACTGTTTTCTCACCTATAAAATAAGGATAATGACTGCTACAGTTTGTATCTACGATGTTTCTGAAGTGTCCAGAGGTCACAGCCAGAGGAGCTATTGGGAACGGGTGGGATCCCCAAGAGGCAGAGCCTAAAGGAAACAGGTCACAGAGGCCTGCTGCTGACGGGGATGTTAGGACCAGACCCTCACCCATCCACCCTGAAGTTAGAATAATCCTCCTTGGTGCTCACCAACACGTGCTGCGCTACACAAAGCAACAGGGCAAGTAACCAACAACGGAAACCCCTGAAACGGTGAGCCAAAGGAACCTTCCGCCTTTGAGTGGACTGCGTTGAGCACTGTAGTGAGAAAACTGAGTTAACACAATGCTACCTTACAGAGTCACAACAGCTGGTGTACGATGGTAGGCACACAGTAGGCCTGCAGCAAATGATTGTGCTCCCGCTTCACCTTTTTAAGTCCTTTTAAAGATCAAGTTAAGGGCACTGGCTGCTCTTCCAGAGGACCCAGGTTCAATTCCCAGCACCCACATGGCAGCTCACAACTGTCTATAATTCCAGTTCCAGGGGATCCAATGCCCTCTTCTGGCTTCTTCAGTTTCCAAGTATAGTATACATCCAGGCAGGCAAAACACCCATAGACACACACACACACATACACACACACACACACACACACACAGGACCAGGTTCAGGAGCGTGCCTCACCTCTGAGAGCCAGGGGACAGGCTTGTTCCACTTCAAGTAGCTACTGTTCTTACTCCTGCCTCGGGCAATTTCTTGGTCCTATCAGGAAACAAAAAATGAACTAGGTGAAAATATTGTTAAGAAACTGGAGACAGGACGGGAGTCAGGGCTCCTTGACGATGACTGTGGGGAAGCAGGGAGCCGGGGACATGGTTCCTACCCCAAGGAAGCCTAAGGGACATTCTTTCATTCATTATTTATACCATCTCCCTGAGGAGACCCTCTCAGGCTTGTCAACATCCCCTCCTGAGGTCTGTTCACAGCCCAGAACTTTTCAACCTGTTCTACATGAGAAAAAAAGAATTTTTTCTGGGTCCCCTTGGAGCAGGAGCTGTGACTTCTTATTCCACTCCCCACCACCAGGTTCCTCCAGATTTCTTACTGGCCTCAACAAATTGGAGCCCCTCAAAACACCCCAAGCCCTTCCTACCATATGGGTCCAAAGATTTACTTTGGCTTTTGTCTGGCTTTGGGGATCTGATTTGGGTTCAACAGTTGCAGGGGTGGTGGCGGGGGCGGGGGTGGGAGGAGTGTCCAAATTGGAATGGCCCTCATTTTCCCTAATCTAACACCTGAGACACACTACAGGGAAGTGCTTCATGACAAACTACAGCCCAGCTGTTGGCGGGGAAGGGCGTTTGTCTGCTCTACCAGCTCTGGCTTTCAGTACAAACATGTGATACTGTCATCAGGAGCACTCATGTCTCCAGGGTATACTGGTTAATATGCAAAAGCGTGTGTGTGTGCATGTATGCATGTGTAGATGGGGATGAAATCTAGGCCCTTACACAAGCTAGACTGAGGCTCTATCCCTAACTTTAGGGTGTGCTGTCTGAGAAGGATGCTACAAGCCTAGAACAGCTCAGACTTGGATAGTTTGAACAATGTTGCAAAAGCAGAAACAAGACAATTAGGCCCCCTGGGGCTTTGAGGAAGGCTCGCGCTAGAACTTCAAGGCTAGGTTGGGGTTCTACAGCTGTCTACTCTTTGCAGACACCACAGAGAAGGAGATTTCCCTTAAAGTCACGCAGCAACGGAGATCTACCAGCCAGGAGGACGGAAAACAGACTGGACCTGCCACATACCTTGAGGCTCAGCCTCTGAGGACGGTAGAATTGGAGATTGGGATCAACAGCTGGGATGTTCCGGCTGGCCAGCGCCTTGGCCAGCTCCCTCCAGCTGCTGTACCCTGTGAAAGAGGAAGAAGAGAATAACAAGGTCAGCCTAACTCAGGAGCTGATAAATCTGTAAGACTGGAGAAGCAGAGAAAAGAGGTGTTAGGCTTCTCTTCTCCTCACCTGCCTCACAAGGTAGGTACCAGGTGGGCGAGGCAGGGGGCAGATATTAGCCTTGGTCCACAGGGCAGGGGGCAGGAAAGACCTCTGCCTTCCCTAAATCAGAGAAGGAACTCTGCCGGGTGAACTGTGTCATTGTCACGTACTGTGGGGACCCGCTACAACATGACTCTTACCTAGTTGCACAGGGTGGGTGATTTCGCAGTCAAGAAATAGTGGCAAAGGCCATTGCCAGGGCAGCACCAAGAGATTGGGGTGGGGTGGGGAGAAGGAAGGGTAAGGGTCATTTCTTTCTGATCATTAGCCATGGGCTTGCTAGAGGAGGCAGGAGAAAGTGGGCCTGAGACCTGGTATTTGTCCCACAAATTTAGTCCTGCGCTGACCTGAGGCCTACGTGTGACTCACTGGTGTCTGTTCTGGAACTGCTTAGCTTGCACACATCTGACGAGGCAAAAAGACCAACCATGGTAGGAGCGAGGGAACAGGAAACGGTTGGCAAGCAAGCAAGCATCCCTACACAAAGGAAGAGGCAAGGGGCAGCCATAGGTGGGGGGGGGGGGAGGAGCCCAGTGCTCAGCCTGTAATCCACCAGATGCCAAGGCCGTCTTGGTTATAAAGCGATTGGCTGGGCAGGGCTGCTGGGCTTAAAGTGAGCGAATCTACCACACTGTAGGCCACAAATCAGACTCATGAATCGTCAGGCCAGTTTTTAAGATCATGTCATCCTCACTCCGGGTAAGGAAAATGGCTGATGAAATGACTAATCTGGAGTCATATAACAAATAGTAGCAAGGGTAAGACGAGAGCCTGAGTGCGCAGGGGCCTCTCCACTGGGATGCTTTATCAAGATGCCCTCGTGGGGCTGGGCTGCATCTCGGCTCTAGAGTTCGTGGCTCTGCTCAAAAGGAGTCAGACCGAAGCGCCACTTGGGAACAAACAAACTTCACGTAAAAGGAGTTTGACATTCATCCTCCCCTGGGATTCAAGAGTTGGCAGAAGGCAGAAGTGCCACGGGATCTCTGCGTGAGCACCAACAGGGACACAGCCAACTGAACAAAGCCAGAATAAACAGCGAAGTGTGGTGGCAGATGCCTACAGCACACCAAACATCTGGGAGAACTAAGGTGGAACTGCTGAATCCAAGGCCAGCCTGGGCTACACAGGAAGACCGTGTCACCCATGCAAAACAAACCCCCAGAGTATAGCCAGTAGTATGGAAGGTCACATTGTGGAGTGTGCGCTGATGCTTGGAAGGAAGGGTACGGAGTCACAGACCCACACACAAGGAGCGTGACGGGGGCAGGGCTGCTTTGGTAACAGGTTACGACTTGTGTTAACAAAGCATCTCAGAGGCATGGCATCATTGGAGCCTTTTAAGATGCTGGAGTTCGGTAGGAGCCATCATTCTTGTCTTACAGATGGGGAAAGAGGAGGCTGGGGCTCTGAGCCACAGATCTATGTGTCCTCCAAGATTAGAGAAGACAGCCCTTGGCCCTCACAAGCCAGGCCCGTCATCATTTACGCTTTCTCCTGTGGCCACTCTACAGCTTTGAGGAGTCCTAGAGGCAGAGGCCTTAGCTACGGACCTGGGCCTCGGGTCACTATACAGATATTCAGTCACACTTCAGTTATGGGAACTTCTGGCCCGCAAGGGTACATGGGTGTGCATGCACTGAAACACGTAACCGAGCCGTCATGACACCAGCTCTATTTCTCTTTAACCGAAGGCTCTCTCTGCGGCTGAGGAAAAGACAGGAAACCCAGGGAAGTGAACCCGAGCCAGGCCCTCCCCTACAGGTCACAGGTATGTCTACGCAGTCCTGAGACATCTGAAATTTGGACGGTCAGCACTGCAGTCCTCAAGCTTCGGGTAACAGGTCTAACTGCACGCGCCACTTAGAGCTGTAACACGTCTCTGCGCCTTTCACCTCGCTTTCTTTGTCAGGATGGGGGGAGCAGAAACACCTGCTCCGGCCACCAGGCCTGCCCTGTGTGCGGTGAACTGTACGTGCCTGACTCACAAGGCGTCTGATGTGCATCTCTCCTAACAGTTTCTGAATTCGGGGTTCGGATGTGAGAGTCAGGAGATAAGAATCCTTCTTCTTTTGAATTGTGTAAACTACAAAGAGCAGCTCTCTGACTCTCCTCTGTGCCTACTGACCAGGGAGTAAGCGGACCGGGCGGCGGGGATTTGGTAGTGACGTAGCTATAGATATGTCCTCTCTGCTCCGTGGACTTGGTGGTCCTCTATCACCACCCCATGGCCCTGCCAGCATTCATTAAACACACACTCTGTGCCAGCCCCTTGGCCCTATATTTGGATCCTTTCCATCTCTGCATCTCCATTGATCCTGCCAGCGGATACCCAGCCATTGCTTGGCCCCCTGGGAGCGACTGGAGCTAAAGAATGTGCTGATTGAATGACTGACACTTGTCACTTGTTCCCTGTTAAGCGATTCCTCCTGTTTCTGGCCGGGCTGCTCCTTCCAGGGCACCAGCTGCCAGGGCCTGGTCCTCCTACAGCAGGTGTCACATTCATGCCTGGAGACAGACGCCGGATCTCAGGTGTCAGATAAAGCACCACCCTGGGCCTCATGCTCTGCCCTCACAGACCCGGGCTATCAAGTTTACCATCAGCCAGAGCTTTGCCAGCAGCCTCCTGGGGGCAATACAGACTTCAAAGGCCTGAAGATTATCATCCTGGCTCTCCGGGACACTATAGCACACATATATCGCTTGGTATCATTTTTCAAAGGCTCTAACATATGTTAGCTCCACTGCCTCCTCGCACCCTCTCCCTCCGAAATAAGAAAAACGGAACAACCAAAACGGTATGGCTATCAGCCCAAGGTCATACCATGTAAAGATAACTAACTCACGGGAAGCACCCAGTGCCTGTAACAACCCAATCTTAGCATCACTCGGGTGCTGCAGGTCAGGGGCTGCCGCTCATTTCCCTTGACCCGTCGTCTGATACTCTTGCCAATACGGTGGCAGGTGGACATCAGGGCCATTCAGCGTGGGAGAATGGGGAGGCCCTTCTCTGCTGAGGCTGCTGCTCATCCTGCAGATCCCACGCCAAGGACCACAGGCTAGAGTTCCGCCTCCATCCCTGCCACTGGAAACACAGAAAAGTATTTCCAAGATGAGAATTAACTAGTTCGCTGACCCAATGCATACGCCTTTCCAGCCCACCACCCAAGAATGTGTTCAAGCCTCTACCGATGGCCAACTGGACTTTCTCACAAGCTCTGTGTTAATATATATTGTTTTGACTCCTAAGTAACTATGAGACTGATACTAATAGCAGCCAACATTTAATGAGCACTTACTGTATACAAAGTGCCATGCTAGAAAGTATGATTTTGGCTTGGGGGTTGTTTCATTGCTGTTTTTGAATGAGGGCCTCTAAATAGCTGTGTCTAGCCTAGAGCTTGCTAAATAGGTGAGGCTGGCCTCCAACTCAAGAGACTGAGCTCCCCCCGATTCTGGCGCTGGGATTAAAGGTGTGACTACCATTCCCGCTCCAGGCTAAAAGTCCTGTTTCACTGTGCAAAGACAGATAATGTGAGCACCCGCTCACATCCCTTCACAGTGAGCAACAAGGGAGCCCAGCGGAGACCTACAGAACCTGTTCCAATCCTGAGATCACCGTCAGTGTCAGCCCTGAGTGAATGAGTCACCTCATCTCCCTGCTCCATATTCGTTCTTGGTCATGTGGAAACAGATTTCTCCTGACAATAGAAAGAACTGGATGCAGGATGCAACACCATGAATGAGGCAAGTTTACCCTACAATCAAGGCTAAACAGGGGAACAAGAAGGGCACTTACCTCCTCCAACCACTGCTCCCCCCCATCCCATGCAAAAACAAAAACAAAAACAAAAACACCCTGCCAGCTCTAGGTATCAGCAAGGAGACTAAAGGCAGCTCAGGAATGCTACCGGGAAAGGTGGAGCCAGGGAACTGCCTGAAAAGGGATGGATGCATGGGGGAGCCATGGCAGACACAGGCATCTTTACAGTGTATTGGGGTTGCTTTCCGGTAGAAGGAGTATTTTTCTTTCCATAAACTACAGGGGAGGACCTCTGAGAGAGGAAGGAAGAGCCCTCCCAGGACCCTGGAAAGGGTGTGAGCCGCCTAGGAGAGCTCGTTCCAAATCTTCCATGGGACACCACAGACCTGAAGATCCAGGATGAAGAGAGATTTCAGAGAGGTCTACATAGAAATTCACTATGCAGAGACTAAAAACGCAAAGAGAAAAAGTGATGACACTCAGTGACACCGAGGAGACAAGAATTCTTGTCCCATTAGAAAACAGGAGACTGCCAAGGAGACAGGAGGCCACGGCAGTCAGGGCGTGGATTTACAGGAGCTGGGAACCAGCCCTGAGTCACAGGATGAAAAGGTTGTGACCCTGGGGAGAACTTGAGGAGAGAGACGGAGGAGTTAGCGTCTTCAGAAGGACAAAGCGACTACAGCTTGAAGCCAGCAGGGCCTAGCTGGAACCAGAAAATGAAAGCAGCATGTCACAGGGAGGCAAAGATGAAGTGGAGGTCCTGTCACCTGGGAGACAGTCTTCAGGGCGTGCCTAATTCTTCCCTTCCTAGTCGCTGATGCCTGAGGGAACCTGATGCAATAAAAATTATTATTACTATAGCCGTAACAATCAACTTGTATGAGTTAATGCATCTATATACACATATAAACATGTAATTTGTAAAGAGGCGCGCTATATTTATATTAATTCAAACCCAGGCTACTCTGTTTTCCTTTTAGTAAATTTAGTTGTAATTTCTAATGGATAAACAAGCAAATCATATAAGCAATCCTCTTTTGTAGTGCTTAATAATCTATGAGATGGGCTGAAGAGATGGCTCAGTGGCCAAGAGCA